AGGTGGGTGTTGGGAGGCTGGTGGGGATATTTATATTGCAGTCCTGACAAAATGTGCATGTGGAGGAGCTCTATAAAATATACAGAGCATTATTTTTGTTCAAACAGTGCGTATTAAGGCAAAGGGAACGTACTAAACACATCCGCTGCAGCAGAGACATATGGGAGCTGAGGGCTTTTAAAAATCTCCAGATTCAATCTAGGCTTTTAAATGCAACCTGCCCCGTGACGGTTCTGCGGTTGCAGGGGAGTGAGCAGGCAGGGACACGGCAGCAGCCGGCAGGACTCTGAAATTAGGACTCTGACCGCATCCCCCCCTTCGCCATCATTACGGTCCAGCCAATACCTTTAATGGGATTCCCGTAATGAAAGTGTAGGAGTAGCATGCAATATCCAAAGAGCTAAAACGCTCTCCTGGGCTCCATGCAGCGCTGCTGTAATACAGCTTATTAGTATTTTAGCCTTCGTCAAATATTCAGCACTGGAAAATGACATGGAGGGATTTTGGGGCTCACAGAGGGTGTGGGAACCCTTCCCCTGCTCCCGTTACCCTCCGCAGCCCAGCGAGACCACCGGCACTGCACAGATCGCCGTCCCATAAGAAGAGTGATCCCCTGGACCAAAACCAGCAGCAAATTGCCTTTCCAGAAGGCAATTGCCTTTCCACACCCTTGGCCACCAGCCCTCCTCATCTCCTCCAGGACCAAGCAGCAAATTCAGCTGCTCCTTTGGTCCCGGCTTTGCATGCACGCTCTCGCCGGAGCTTCAGCCTCTCCAATCTCATGGGGCATCACGCTGGCCTCAGCGCATCTCGGTGGGAGAGGCCAGCCGTGCCCTCCTGCATCCCTCCATCCCGCAGAAGGATGGTCCCCAAACCCTGCCTCCATCCAGGCACCCCTCGGTGCCACGTCCAGGGGGCATTTTGGTGCTGGGAGGGTTGCTAATGCTGTGATGTGCCCCTTCCAGCTGCAGCTACGGGATTTTTTTTTTTTTTCCCCATGGCAGCCATCATTATAAATATTGCCTGATGGGTGGGAAGGAGACAGAGGACAAGTGACACTGCTACAGGCTGGCACCAGTCTGGGAATTCGCACCCGGTGCTAGCAGGGGGTCAGCGATGCTCCCGGCTGCAAGGGGCTGCGGGCCGGCCGAGGTGCCTGGGATCGATGGGGATGGGTCTGCGGGGGCCAAGCATATCACCCCGCAGCCGAGCCGTGGCCAGCAGAGGCCACGGGATCAATGCGGAGTGAAGGAAATACGGCTGCGGACACGCGGCTTTTACAGCTTCCTTCCCCAAGAAAGGCTGGTTTTTATGGACTTCTGGTAATTGCCAATTAATTTTGCTGAAGCCAAGGGCAGGAAGGCAGCCCAGCTCTTTAAGGGTACCCACGCAGGGGTGGGCAAACGGAAAAACAGTCTCCTTTTTCCCACCTATTTTCCTGTACAGTCCTCAGCAGAGTCTGAACTGATGCAATCCCTGCAAAATCCTAGCGATGACCAGTCCCGCATTTCTCGAGCCACTGAAAACGAAAGAAAAAGCAGGCTGGATAGAGTTAGCAGTTGGCTGTAGCTCCAACCCGTGGCCACAGTCACCACCTCCCTGCTCCTCATCCTGCACCTTGTCATCAGCTTCATTTATTCCCCATCCCTCGAAGGCAGCCAGGAGCCCCAGAACTCCAGAAACAAGACAGGCAAAGAGAATCCAGACCCTCCCAATTAGGCAATTTTTTCTGAATGAAGGGCCCTGCTCCGCCCTGTGCAGGGAACGTGATTGACATAAATCCGGGGGCTGATTAGGGGCTTGTCATTTAGCACCTATAATGCCTCCCTCCTAATAGTATTAGGGCCTCCTTGGCGAGACGCTAATGCAGTTTGCAGCTGCACCGTGGCGCCTGGGATTCGGCCGCCGAGCGGCGAGCGTGCTGCAAAATGAGCACATCTCTAATCCGAAGAGACAGTAATGAAAAAAGGAGCTGCCTTGACAAGGTGCACAGAGCAGCGGGGGAAAAATGGTCCTGGTATGGCCGGCCCCAGGAGCATCGTCTCCCGGCCACGGGCAGCATCCCCACCAGGGTTACTCGACGAGCTCGCTCCTTTCTTATTTCCCCATCCTCTTCACCCCGGAGATGCCCGTACCCCTTTTTCCTTGCTCTGCCCCTCCAAGCCTTGCCAGCCCATCCTTCCCCTGGGATCCTCCCTGTTTTCTCTGCAGGGGCTGCATCCCTGGTCCGTGCCCCTCGCCCCGGGATGCAGCTCTGCCTCCGCTCCTGGAGGGAAGCGTGGGAGAGGGACAGGGGCATTTGCCAGAGTAGCGACCCTTAAAGCTCTGAACAAATTTCTGTTTTGATTAGCCGTGCTCCTAAATGATTTATAATCAGCATAATACAATAATGACAATAACTCCCTAATCAGATTAAAGCGTTCTCCATTTGTCTGGGGCTTTGTGCTGTAATCTCTTCCTCCCCTCTCTGCCATCGATTTTGTTTTCTCAGCCCAGCTCCTCGCTGAGCCCCGCCGAGGGCTTTTCCAGCCTTTACATCCTCCTTACCTGGACTTGATATTCCAGGACAGGTCCCCTTTTTCCACCCTAAAACCCTGTCCATGCAGACGGGTTTTATTGCTCACGGCAGGGGATGCCGTGAGCAATTTACTCCGGCAGCAAAACCTGTGGCACTTCGCTCGGCCCATGCTCTGTGAAATTTCATTAGTGCCATTCACAGCAACTCCCTCGTTAGCCTGACTGGCACGGTACAAATCTCGTTAGACCCATAGGATCTTTAAGTGAAGTTGGGAAGGTGTTTCCATTTCTTTGGTTAATGAAGAAAAATAGAGGTGGAGGCGGCTGGAAGGAGCGGGGATCGCAGTGGGGAGCCTGGCTGGAGGATGGCGAGGAGAGAGGACTGTGTTAACACTGATTAATAATAAATAACCACCATAATGAGCACTAATTATTAATAGCACACGCTTAAGCAATTGATTCCCAGTGAATGGCAGTGTGCCATCAGGAGTTCCCAGAGCTCCAACTAACCAAGCCGGTGGTGCTGCTGGATGCTCCTGGCCATGCCCGGGCTGCCCGGGGTCTGCAGATGGGAACCAGCCCGGTCATGGACAGGGATCATCCCTTGCTGCTGTAGGAACAGACCAGGGAAAGGATGGGGACGGTTGGCTAAGGATCATCTCCCATCCCTCAGCACACCCTCCTGCCTCCTAAACTTCTGCCCATGCTGTCGGCAGGTCCCAGGGCACGGCACCATCTGCCTTGCTCCATGCTTTTCCTTGGTCTGATGTTGACTCGCTGGAAAAACCTATTAGAAACTTGTTTTTTCTTCTTTTTTTTTTTTCCTCAGACCTATTTTAGGTGTTTCTGCACAGGGAGCATCCCTGTGCCCTGTGTGATCCCGGGCAGGGCAGGCAGCAGAGCCCACCGCTGCCTGCACGAGGGGAGCACGGCTGCTGGGGACCTGTTTGTTTCCTGGCCCCTTCAATCCAGCGTGTGATAGATTGATACGGAGCTTTAATCAGTGTAATATATAAAGCACTTAATTTGCCTTATTAAAAGTCTACACTTTGGATTTTCAGGATCCAGGAAATTAACTCAAGCACCTAAGCATTTATTTGATTGAAAGAGACTATAAATAATTCATGCCTTTTCTTTGCCTTTGGTGGCAGACCTGCTGGGGTGGTGGGGGACCGGCAGCAGCTCCCAAGGTCCCTCCATCGCGGTGACAGAGCTGGTGTGCACCGGAGATGGCCTGTGTGGGGTGATGGGCACCGACGGAGCCCGGGGCAGCCCAGGGAGACCGTTCTGTGCTGGGGGACCATCAGCCGATGGGGAATTGGGGCTGGTGCCTCTCACCAGCTGAGGGGTTGGATGTGCCCTAGCAAGGGCCGTGCAGGGCTGGAGATGGCTGGGAGGAGGAGGAGGAGGAGGAGGAGCAGGCTGACCCAGAGCGAGTCAGGCTGTGTCAGGCTGCATACTGGTCTCGTTGTACTGGGAGGAGAGGAGCCAGCCACGAAAATCACCATGACAATAAAGCTGAGTATTTCATCTATAATTCAGAGGAGCTGGAAAGTGGTTTTATAAAAAAAAAAAAAAAAAATTAAAAATAAAAACACGGCTGAGACAGTAGAAATTTATGCCACTGTTCTTGCTGAGCGAGGATGTGGCATGACCTTCGGACAGGCACGATGCCCAGCCCTGGCCACAGCGCTGGCGGGGACTGAGAACAGGGACGTGGTGGGGCAGGGGGGGCTGGGGGCTGCGTGCGCCCACGGTGCCAACTCGGCAAGGGCTGAGCGGGCCAAGAGAAATCTGCAGGTGGGGTGTGTTTGCTGTGCCAGCTGTGCGTCGTCCGCTTGCCTTCGAGGTGTGGGGTGTGCATCACCAGCCGGCCCTTGCAGCGTGGGCTGAGCATCCCGGGGCTGAGCATCATCCGGCTGCAGTCACTGTACGGGCTGTGCATCCCCAGGGATGTGCATCGCCAGCAGCATGGGCTCGGCATCCCGGGGCTGTGCATTATCCAGCTGCCCTCACAGGGTGGGATGTGCATCCCTAGGGATGTGGGGACGCGCATCCCTAGGGCTTCGCATCCCTAGGGATGCTCGTGAGGGTTCCGCAGCCTGCAAAGCTGAGGTTCCCCTAGTTTGACCGGGTGAGGAGCAGGGGGAATTTGGGGGTCTGTTCCTCAGGAGCAGGCTACAAGGTGCTGGTCCTGAGGCTGCGGGATGATACGAGCGGATGGGGGCTGCGGGGGGACGGACACACGGACACGACCCCTGCCCGACCGCTGCCTGCCGTGCCCTGCCGGTCCGGCGGGCCCACAGTGCCCTCCAGCGGGCGCATCCCGGCTGCCGGTGCCGCAGCTGGCCAGATGTGTAGCCCCGCCGCTCCGGAGGGATTGCCCGGGATGGAGGGGAGAGCTTCGCTCCGGTCTTCTCCGGCCATGGGTGCGCTGAGCTGGGGGGGTCTCAGCTCTGCTAGGGGAGGGGACGGGGGGGGAGATCCGCCAGCCGCAGGACAGGGAGGGAGGGTTTTCTCCTCTCCTTCCCCATCCCACTCACTGCAGGTTCCTCTTCTTGGCAAATTTGAGGGCCACGTTGTCATACTCGGTGTCCCCCAGCCACTCCTTGCCCTGCAGGAGGAAGGGTTGCCGGAGAGGGACGGCTCTTTTGGGCACGGCGTAGTCATCCTGCTGCGGGTTGTAGAAGGGGTACTCGTGCCCGGTGGGCTCCTCCGGGGCCGCCTGCAGCCTCCACGCCTCCCCCTTCACCTCCTCGGGCTCGTCGTAGACGATGTGGGTGGACAGACCCTCGGGCTCGTCGTAGATGTGGTCGGGTTTGGCGACGGTGGGGAGCTGCGGGGGCTGCTTGCCCACTCGCCCCCCTGCCTCCTCGATGCTGTCGTAGAAAGGGTCGGGGACCTCCCTGGGGTGACGGACCAGCTTGCCGAACTTGCGAGCCACGAAGGTCTTGGCGATGGTGTCGAAAGGGATGGCATACTCGGATTCGGCGGTCTCCTTGGCCGGAGCATCCTGCCTCCGGTTCTTCTCCGGCACCGGGGGGTTCCCCCGACGGACGGAGTTGCAGGGCTCGGCGTAGGAGCAGTCGGCACCGCGGGAGGGCAGGAAGGTACCCAACGGCTCCCCGGCCCCAGAGCAGTTGCCGGGGGACGTCGCCGGCTTGGCTTTTGGCACCTTCCCCTCCCAGGTGGGCTCCAGCGAGGAGGACTTGGTGCCGCCGGGCTCCTCGTGCCCCTGCGCCCAGCTGGGCATCTTGGTGTGGCCGAGCGGCCGGGTGGCATCGTCCCCGGGGCCGCCCCGCCGCGGCTCCTCGGCTCCCCGGCACCGATGCCTGTTGATGGCCGATTCGATCGCCTGGAAGATCTCGTTGCCTTGCCTGGTCTCAAACTCAAAGTTGCCTTCTCCAGATGCGCAGCGCCGGCCGGCCTCGAAGGAGAAGGTCACCTGGGGAGGGACAGGATCAGGACCCCGTGCCGCAGCCCACCGCCAGCCCACCCTTCCCGGATCCCGCTTACCTTATCCCGTCCGAAGCGTCTCAGGAAATGGTAGGGCCAGCTGTAGAGGATCTCGAAGGTCTGGAAATGCTGCAGCTCCAGTGCCTCCTCGCCGGCTCGCAGGATGCACCGGCCCCAGAGCCGGCAGCGCTCGGAGGACTCGGTGGCCCTCACCGTCACCTTGAACGCCTGCTCCAAGCCGGCTGGGGGTGGAGGAAGGTGGCATTTGACACATGCAAGGAGCAGAGTTCCTTGCTGCGAGAGCAAAGCTGCATCTTTCACCCCAGGGAGGTGCCATGGGGTTCGTGAGCCCCTGCAGCCGGGGCGTCGGGGAAGCGGCGTCCGGCTGATAAGGGCTTGAGGGCTCTGGCTGCGCAGGAGCAAGCTGATAGCGCAGCAAAACCCAGCCCTGCCAAACCACAGAGCAGGAAGGAGTTATTTCAGGGGAAGACTTTCCACCACACCTCCTGCACACAGCCGCGGCGGGGGCTGCTCTCTGGTGCAAAACTGGCCGAGGTGCCTTGGGAAGGGGGGGATGCTGAGGTGCTGCAGGACATGCATTGCTTCCTGTGCAAGCCAACCCAACCCCGCTGCACCTTCCCCGCTTCCCGGAGCCTACCTTTGCCTCGGGAGCTGTAGAGGGAGTTTTCCTCCATGGAGAACTCGCTGTTGGTGCCCAGCGAGCTCTGCTGACCATCCTTGCCTGCTGCCTGCTCCTCCCTGCTCCTCTGCCCGGGAAAGAGCAGCGGGTGAGCGAGGGCAGCACACAGCATCCCCCCAGCCTGCCCCGTCCCAGCAGACCCCTGGAAATCCCCGGCAGGGATCCCGCTGTCTCCCGTGCCCCTGTTATCCACGTCCAGTGCATACCGGGAAGGCCAGCTCGCAGAGCTTCTGGATCCAGTCGGCCGCCTCAGTGCCGTCAGCAGCCAGGAGGTACCGCTTGTCGGTGGTCTCCAGCAGGAAAGGGACGGTCTCCTTGGGGCAGCCGGCATCGCCGCTCGCCTCCGCCACATGCACGCAGTCGCTCAGCTTGACCAGCCGCTTGCTGCCCTCGCCTTTCCGCAGCTTCTCCGCGGCCGGCGGTGCCGAGCCCTCGAAGAGCTCCAGGCGGGCGGTGGAACAGGAGCTTTCCCGGTATAAGACACCCCAGAACTTCCTCCATTTCTGCCGTGGGGAGAAGCAGTGAGAGGAGTGAATGGCCAGTATCAGCCAGCTCTGCTTTCACCCTTCCAGGAGTTTTCATCCCCTCGGGACCATGCCCAGGGCACGACATCGGTGCAAACCCCTCCAGGGTCCGGGCAGGGTCTCGCACCCTCGCCCAGGCAGGCTGGCCAAAGCTGGGGAGTGAGATAAACTGGGCAGCCTGGGGAAAAGCATCCCCGACAGACAGTCTGCAGCCTGCAGCCAGGCATTCCCAGCCGGCAAAGGCACTGGCAGCACCCCAGCCTCAGCCGGCACCGGGATCCATCCCAACCCCTGTCCCTACCCTGCGGCACCCAAAAGCTGTGCCAATGGCCCCCCACTGCTGAAGGACTTTCAGCTCCTCGTTTGCTCCGTCTTCCCGGAAAACACCAACTTTTAAACGATTCCCAACTCGCCCTCTGAGAAGGCAGCAGCTCACGGCACACCGTGCGTGGGAGGCACACCGGCTCCGGCAGCGGGGAAGCGGCGGGAGAGGAAGTCTTGCACAGAAATCAGAGCATCCTCCGCGGCGGATCCCTGCACCGGCGACCTGCCGAGCCCGGCAGGCTTTGCCGAAACGTGGGGGTGGCCTCTGCCCCGTCCTCTGCCATCGCGGGCATCACGCTTGGCGGCAGCTGCCTTGCCGCGGGAAGGCGATGCCCTGCCCTGCCCTGCCTCGCACCCGCTCTGTCTCCGGCATTTGGAGCAGGACTGGGCTCCGTCTCCTGCCCGAGCGCGGTGCCGGAGTCGCCCCGGGTGGCTCCTTCCCCTTCTTGCACAAGAGCGGTGTGGGTGGGAGCCATTGCTAAACCCCGGCCTTTATCAGTTGCTGAAGCAACGAGGCTCTGGGGGTTGCAGCAGTTTATGCCACGGCCCTGGCCCGTTTTGCAGAGCCTCTGCCCCGGGGCGGGGGTCCCACTGGTGGGGGGGG